GCCTTCTGTCTCCGTTCTCTCTCGATTCTTACAAAGCAGCGAGCCCCGCCGCGACTCCGCCAGGCCGCCTGCAGGAACAGCGTGTGTGGGGGTGTGTGATTGACCCGGTTCGGTGGGTTCGATCGTGCAGCATACTCAAAACTGCCCCGGTGCCTGCGGCGACAGACGTACCCACGGTGCCGAGTCCGAGGACGCCGGCGCTTTGGAGTGCAGAGAAGGCACCGGTAGTGGCGCCTCCGTAAAGCGCGGACTGCGCGGCAGCAGCTGCCGAGCCAGCTGTGACACCGCCTGCGGTGAAGCCCAGACCCGCAAGTGCGAAGGGTGCTGCCACGACAGCTACGACCGCGCCACCTGCAGCCAAACCTGTGACGGTTAATGTAGGAACTGCCATCGCAGGTAGGGCCAAAAAAGCAACCATCTCAGTGATATCCTTGCAAACTTCACACGCAAAAGTTCTCCAGACGTACGGCGCCACGTCTCCGCGCGGAGTCAGTCGCCTGCGTGGTTCTGTTCTGGGGTTCGTGCGGTTGCTACCCGTCGCTGCCCGAGTCATTTCAATTGGTTTGAGAGTGTGGATAAGTTAAGAGTGTGTGAGTAAAGTTGGTGGCAAAGAGGTGGCCTGTGCGTCAGTCAGTTTGGATCGGAGAAGTGCGTAGGCGGTACTGAGTATTTCGTTGGTTTTTAATTGGATGAGTCGGCGAGCTTGCTCGGAGGCGAGTTTGAGTAGTTCAGGTAGGTAGAGTTTGGCGACTGCGTCGGCGAAGAGGAAAAGGGCTGCGGGGAGGGCCTCGTCAAGTGCACCAGTCGTGTGAACAGCGCCCGTAGCACGGTTGACACGGACGTACTTTAGCAGGTCATATGTCGAGAGGAAAACACAGCTCTCTTTAATCGCCAACTGCGCGGCCGCGTCCTGTACCAACACACTCAATACATTGTGCAGATTCGGGTGCGTCTGCGCTGGCAGACTACGGAACAGATAGTCGTACAGATTCACCAGCAATATTTCCTGACTCTGTGTTTGCACACGCGCAGAATTTATTATTGTGTTATACACTCGGTCAATCGTCTCAATTAACTCCGACTCCGCAACCGACTCCGCAACCGACAACCTATCGGTCAACTTGTGGCTGTCCAACTTTTCGTCCAATTTCGCGCGCCGCGCTTTTTGTGCCACACTTTCATCGATGATTGCCTTCACAAAAGAGACTGCAGCCTTCATCACCGGCGGAATCGCTGGCACGTGTGTGTCCAGTAGGAACTCTCCTATCTCCCCACAGATCCGCTCCACACAGCCGCGGTACAGGTTCATCAGGCTTCCTTTCAGACACCGTAAATATTTCACGACCAGAGCATCAGAATCGTGGTCGAGCAAAACCACTATTTTGTGTACATTCAGGTCCAAGATGTCGACCATCTTGTAATAGTAGACGGCAGTCTGCCGATCGTCTGCCGCTACATTTTCTCGGAGGGGTGGCAAGCTAGGTGCGAAGGAGTTGTCACCCAAATCGTCTCCTAATAAATCATCTCTGAACGAGCGATCATCTCTGAACGAGCGATCATCTCTGAACGAGCGACCTCCAAAGGTGTTGTTCCGGAGGTCGAGATTGAATCCCGGAAGTCTATTCCAGATTTGGTGGACACTTCCCATCAATTCCTTGTTGAAGAGTAGTTGCAAATAATCTGAAACTTTGCCGACTTCCAGCAGACCCAGTTCGTCTGCTGAGCAGTCGGGACCATGCGCGGCTGTTTCGAGTTTCCAACACCGTTTGCAGGTGCACTCACACTTCAGCACGTGGAAATACTGCTCGACGAAACGCTTTTCTTCCTTAAACATGTTCACGAGCCATCCTAAGACACTCGTGATCAGGTCGCTCGACTGGTCAATCTCACTCGCCTCATTAAGCAACATACGCCACTCAGCACCGCGATACACCACCAACGAACGTGTGATCCCATCAACGTAGGTCGTGCTGCTCTTAATCAACTTCACAAACATAAATAACAATTGCCACTCCACTGTGACCGACTCCGCCGAAATTGGTGGACCCACAACCGTAACCCCCGTCCCTACAGACGCCGGCAGGTCCGTATCCATGGACCCGGGTGGAAATGTGGCGGGTGGAAATGCGGCGGTTGGAAATGTGGCGGGTGGAAATGTGCCGGGCGGAAATGATTGTGAAAGGGGCGACCCAGAGGCAGACCCGGACGTGGCTGAGGGAGACCCGGCCTCCGTGATGACGCCTTGGCGGTCTCGATAACCCGGCGAGAGACGCAACACCCAGGCCTTGAAGAGGTGTTCGATGTGCGTCTGCAGCACGTCCAACGTCTTAGGAATCAGGGGCACCAGATTGCCCTGAGCGTCCGTATGACGCACAGTGTGTAAATTCACCACCGGCGTCTGCACCTTTTCCAATTCCTTGAGACAGGTCTCCAATGGCACCTCCGCGCCCCCCGCAGCGTCTACCAAATCAATTGCGCGCACCAAACGGTGTAGGACCACAAAATTCGCACGCAAAACCGAGATCGAACGCAAATCATAGTTCTCAGGGGTCGTAAACACGCACAACCGTCGCCAGTCCTCCGTCTGCCGGATACCCTCCTTCACTCGACGACTGTCCGCCTCCACCTTAACCGCCACGCAATAGTCATCTCTACAAAGTTCCGCGATGCACACACGTGTGCACACACGTGTGCACAACCACAGTGCAGAAACACAATTCACGGACGTGTCTGAAACAAACTACATGTGCCGTACTTTATGAATGAACCCTTTACGTCTGCTACGCACTGTCGGAACGCGTTTATTTCGTCATGCAACGTGGAAGCCAAAGTGGAGTAATTCCGAAGGCTCAACAACTGATCCTCATACCGATCCAACTGGTTCCGGTACATTTTTCCTTTCCGAATATATGCCCACCTCCTCTCTTCTCCTGGGCTCCCACCTTTTAGCTCCCACCCCCCATTCCCTCCGCCTTCCGCGCTCGCTCCCTGGCTTTACACCCTGTCAACAGACTGCCCCCCTTCTTAAGCCTCCTTTGTGTCCGTCTTAATTTTTTGGATGCGGTCTCACCACGTGGTGTTTCTGCTGGAGTTGTTGGTGACTGTACTGTTCGATGCGATAGACCGGGAGTTATCTCGTCGCGGGAGTGCGGTAGGTTCGGGAGAAGTCGGAGGAGGCGTTTTTGGTAGCGGTGCGAACGAGTCGGAGTTGCCGGACTTAAGCTCGTATCACCCGGTGTTTCAGGAGGTGGAGGAGTTGAAGCGGCAGCTGTCTTTGTTGAGTCCATCTGCGGACTTTGTACAGCACTCGCGTTTAGGTCGTAAGTTGATTCGTGTGGAGAAGGAATGGAAGGATGTGTTGAAGAACATGGAGCCACAGGAGCGTGTGCGGCACGAAGAGGTACTGAAGCCCGCACAAACGCGTGAAATGCCGGTGTCACGCGCACTCAACGTGCCCCGTGTTCAGGGTCATCGTCGCTGGCTGCCTGGGCTCCGGGTGGTGCTCCTTTGGGCGTTGGCCCACCTGGTGTTTGGCTGGGCGCGAAAGCTTAAGTCCATGCCACTCTTCGCCATACCGAGCGCACTCTTCTGGCCCCTGGTAAACAGCAAATCCGGAAGGGTCTACTTCCCGGCATCCTGGCTACTCAACAAAATTGCCTTCGATGACCCTGCCCTCGACGACCCACTCGCCTCCGTACCCCCCATACCTGGAGGTGGTGTCCTCGTCTCTCTGGGCTTCGCCACCACACTATACGTCCTCAACCGAGGCTACTGTCGCCTCCGTGCGGGCATCGGCAACTTCCAAAGAGGCTGCCAAAAACTACCAATTAAGCAACAGTAACTCCCCTGTCCGCCACAGTCTAGTCTGCTCAATATGTACTCGAGCCCGATCCTGCAGCCCAGTCAAGTCGTCACCGCCCCATCCCCTCCCGGACGTTTTTTGGAAAGCATGCCCGAATTACCTGAAGTGGAAACTACACGTCGTCAAATTTCTGAAGAATTTATCTTGGCAAGACGCGGCGGGTCTTCTGCACCGACTGCGTCAACGTCAGCGCCCGCTGCTGCGTCCGAGTCCGGAGATTTGCAGCGGGAAGTTTTTGTCTCTGAAGGTTTCGAGCCCGGCGATTTAGATTCGGAGACGGGGGCCGGGCCGGTTCTACGATCTGTAGAATGCGTTTGCGCATCTTTGCGGAGCGCGGTACCGTCGGACTTGGACACGGAGTTGGCGGGGAGTCGGTTGGTGCGCGTGTTGCGTCGCGGGAAGTACTTGGTGCTCATCTTCCGCCGGGCTCAAGCCGACCGAGATCCCCCACCGCCCTTGTTGGTGCACCTGGGGATGTCAGGATGGATGTGTGCCTATGTCGCGGACAAAAAGTTACCGAAACATTCACATGTTGTTTTTAATTGGTCGGATAGGCGACGTCTAGTCTACAACGATGCACGCCGCTTCGGAACTGTGGATTGGTGTCGGAGTAAGAAGAGTTCCAAACAAACTACCCACCAATGGCAGACCGACTTCCGACTCAGACACTTGGGCCCGGAACCTTTCTCAATGGGCCCGGAACCTTTCTCAATGGGCCCGGAACCTTTCTCAGTCCCTGTCAACGCCCTGCCCTCTGCCGACGCCCTGCCCTCTGACGACGCTCCGGTGGCATTTACGGTAGATTACATGTGTGAACGAGCGCGTGGTAAAAGGGTGGCGGTAAAGAAGTTTCTGATGGACAGCCGCGTGGTGGTGGGGGTGGGGAACATTTACGCTGCGGAAGCTCTGTTCGCAGCGCGCCTACGTCCTGACACGCGGGTGTGCGATCTGTCGCGCTCGCACTGGGAAATTATAGTCCAGAGCGTGCGCGACGTGTTGACTCGCGCCATCGCGGCCAAGGGCACTACCTTCCGCGACTTCAAAAGCGGACAGGGGGAACCCGGCTACTTCCTCGGCAACCTCCAAGTCTATGGCCGCGCCGGCAAGGGCTGCCTCCGATGCGACCGGCCACTCACCAACCTCAAACTCGGCGGTCGCCAAACCGTCTGCTGCCTCGCCTGCCAACGGCTTATCCTGCCGCCAAATGCCGACGACGAACCCACCACCACCACCACCTCAGAAGGCGACAACAACGACGACGACAACGACTAAACGAAATTACTTTGCGGAATCCCTAAACGGAATGACTGAACCAGTCGTGCAACTCGCCAGCCATGCCGCTGTCCTCGTGCACGGCTGCACTCTTGCCGCGGTCCTCGTGCACGGCTGCACTCTTGCCGTTGCTGCCGCTATACTGGGCTGTGTTTTTCGTGGCCTTCGGCGAGGTCTTCCGGCCTGCGCTTAAGACAGCGCCGCGTGTAATTAAGTGTGTAACAGGTGGTTGATGTTCAAAAGAAACGTTAGGGTTGTGTCGTTGGGGTGTGGTGTATATGCCACCTGTGCTGGTGTGTGCTTCCTGGGGTGTCACTGTTGTAATGTGAATTTGAAAAGGTCTTCAGGTCTCCAGAGGTTGAAGCCGTCGCTGCCGGTGGAGATATATAAGTATGGTACCAGAGGATGTGTCTTGGCAGCTGCGAGGTTTTGGTGTCCGCAGTGTTCGAAGAGTAGTTGTGAAGGTACGCCTTCGAGTTCGTGTTCAGCGTCGACGGTTTCAGCGGAGAGGTCCCAGACAGTGGCGCGGTTGTCATAGGATGCGGCGACGAAGGTGGTGTTGTCGCTCCAATGTACGCTGCAGATGGGTTCTCTATGGTATTGAATGGCGAAGAGTGGGAGTTCTGGTGCCCGAAGATCTGCTATTTTCAACCATCCGTCATCGCCTCCGGAAAGTAACAAAGGTACTCCGATCTCGAAGGGACAGAATTGCACTACATTCACATCCCCATTATGCCAATTTGTTAACACCTGCGTCGCCTGTGGCGTGCGTATATCCCACACTCTCACACAACCATCCGCCCCAGCCGACGCAATACAATTCGTGTCGGCACCTGTCGACCGGAAACTCAATCCCTCTACGCTACCCGTGTGTCCCTCGAACACACGCGCAGCCGACCAACCACCCGGCACAGGCTGGTGCAAGACAATCCGACGATCGCGCGCACCGGTCACAAATTCCGCACCCGCCGGGCTCCAATCTAATGCAAATCCCTCCGCATCATGACACACACTCTGACCTATGGCCAGACCCCCGGCTCCCGGACCCCCGACCCCCCGGCCATTAAGGTAGACGGGAGCTTGTGTGCTGTCCGCGATCTTGGTTGGGTCCTGCAGCTGTCGGAGGTGTGTGCTCAGATCGAACACACGCACGCACCCGTCGTCCGTGAGACACGCCGCCAGCTGCTGCGCCGCCGGACACACCGCCACTTTGTTGAAGGCGGCCTTCGATCGGATAAAAGCCGTCTCCAACCGCAGTGCTTTTTCCTCGTCCTCCTCATCCTCGTCGTCGAAACCGTCTTCCGAATCCGATTCGTAAGTCCGGTACAGGTTCCGGCACGCCATGACTGTCAGGGCGTTCTCGCAGCCTACGGCCGCTTGTGTGCCCGCCACGAAACACACGTCGTACCGCGCTGACGAAGAACCGGATGCGCACTCGGAAGCCGAAGGTCCCGCGCTCGAGCCCGACCCCGCCCACTTCGGGTGGCTGATGATGTCGAAACTCAGACACGGCCACTCCACGTTGATCCTGTGATACATGTCGTAAGCACTCGGGTCATGTTCCAATACCTCGTCTTCCTCCAACACATCCACACCCGGACGGAACGGCCGTGTCACCACTTCCGCCGTTTCACGACCACCGGCCCGACTACCGCCGGCCAATACTTCTCCAGAACGATCTCCAGGAGCTTCTCCATCTCCCACCGAAGTCTCGTCGTCCGACGACGCTATAACCTCTTCCTGTTGAAACGTTAAGTCCTCACCCTCAGATGACGATCCGTCAGCAACTTCACTCTCAACCACCTTCTTCGGAGCTCCACCACCGACCTTACTCGGACTGTTCTCTTGCTCCGTCAATCCGCGCTTACTAGCCCCCATGCGAAATTATAAATACCCCCGTCTGCGGCCGACCGATCACAACTTATTCGGTCACAGTGAACCAACGACCAACCAGACCTCACGAGCAAGACTTTGTTGTTCTAAACAAGCCACTTTGGTTATGGACCAGCCTTTTCGGTTGAGTTGTATCCTCATCATGTTGTGTTCGGGGAGTTGTTGTATCCGGAAAAATATCGACTGGTAAATTAGAGTAGCGAGTATCTATATACCCGATTGTTGTTGGTGCCTACGAATATATCGTTCCCGTCGACAAGAAGCGCGGTTGGATACAATCCGTAGTCCCCAACTTTGCCAGGTGCCGTTTCTCCGACGAGGATACTTGTTTCAGGGGCAGGCGATTTTATGTCCGTGAAGCACACGGTTTTATCATTGCTGGCGGACACGATGAAGATGCGTGGTCCTCGAGGACAGATACAGACGTCTGTGATGGCTTTGCTGTGTGCTTTGCTGACTTGCAAGCACTTGAGTGTGGCGGAGCTCTCTTTTTGATAGAGGCTAACATCGTGGTTCCAGAGCTTTAATCTGCCGTCTACATGTCCCGTAACTAGATGGTTATGTAGTAGGTATGCGGATGTGATACCTTTGCCTGTATTAAAATTATTGTACACACTACCATCTATGTAGTCCATGACCTTTAAATATCCGTCAAGGCTTGTAGCAATAATGGAATAAATTCTGTTGATTGAGTCCTGATAAAACCGTATCCAAGATACCGGCATTTGGAACGTGCTTTTCTTCAAGACTGGGCTAGACAGCACCCATTTATATTCATTCGTCAGATTTCTCTTACGACTGCTGACCTTAGTCGGACTATCGTTAACAGCACTATCTTGAGCTTGGGCTAACTCTTGAGCTTGGGCTAACTCTTGAGCTTGGGCTAGCTCCAGTACCGCCGCAGGTAGCTTGTATACAGCCAAAGATCCATCCGCGTCGCCCACGGCTAGCATGTCCAATGTCGGTGAGAGAGCGGCGGCCGAGATGCGACTGGCGACATGAATCTTGCCGTATGCCACATTTGTGTGCGCCTGCATATCTACCAATTGTACCGTGCCACACGCCGTGACCAAGAGGTGAAATTGTGGGGTCAGTCGCAGCAGTGCGACAGAGTTGGGCTCGTCCGATCGAATGACGGCTTTGTTCTCCGTCAAGTCGTTCCGCGCCTTCAAGGTCACGTTAGCTCGCGAACCCAAACATGCCAAGTCCTTATTCGTAGCTGGCAGCAGGTCTATTATAGCATCTGGAGTATCTCCGGCGTCTGCGCACTTCAGTACACGCACGGGACGATACACCTCAATCTTTACCGTGTTTTCCGTACTGAACTCGGGCAGCTCCGTAACGATCGATAAGATGTCCGTAATAATCCTCACACCGTCTATTCGAAACGACCAAGAACCCATTTCCTCTACCCCCCCGCTTTCTGTCGGCTTCTTCAACAACTCATTAACCAATTTATTCAACTCACCCACCGTCGTAGTCATGGGCAACACAAAGGGGCCGGGGGAAGTCAGGACCACTCCCTCTTCCTCTAACACTAACACCACCGCCAATTCCGTCATCCCGTCTTCTCCCACAAATAAAATTAGCCCTCTCTTCTCGACGGGTGTCACAGGTCATCCAAATTCCGGCTTCACCATCGCTACCTCGTGTCCCCCAGGGTGGGACACATGACCTGGAACCTGAGGGGTCGGTAGTGCGTAGGGATGGAAGGTGTTCCTTTCTTCGTATCTTTCGTAGGTGTATCACAGATGCCTGTGTGTCGGTCGACACGCTCATTTTTGTCATTTTCTTGACATCCACGCCATGTTCTCCGTAACTCACGCGCTGTCTTATTCACCCAAGGCGCTGTCTTGTTCACCCAAGGCGCTGTCTTGTTCACCCAAGGCGCTGTCTTGTTCACCCAAGGCGCTGTCTTGTTCACCCCCCAGTGATCTCGCCTGCGCTTGTTTCATTTCGTCCCCCCTCACACTCGTTTTTCGACAAACAACATGGAGAGCATTTGGGTTGAAAAATATCGTCCACAAAGTCTCGATGAGTTGACTGGCAATCCCGCTGGTCTGAGGCTATTGCGCAGCCAGATACACCAGCCAGGAGGCTTGCAGCATTTATTGTTATGTGGTCCTGCTGGTGTTGGTAAGACCTCATCCTTGCATTGCCTGGCCAGGGCCATTCTGGGGGACCAGTACAGTTCTCAGACATGTTTGGAGTTGAATGCTGCTGATGATCGCGGTATAGATGTAGTCAGAGAACGGATAAAAAACTTCGCCAAGAACCAGGTGAGATTGGAACCGGGTCGGTTCAAGATTGTAATTCTTGATGAGGTGGAGGCCATGACTGAAGGTGCTCAACAAGCGCTACGAAGACTCATGGAACAGTACTCGGATACCAGGTTTGCCTTGGCCTGCAACCAGTCCGAGAAGGTCATAGATCCTATTCAAAGTCGATGCGTCCGCGTTCCTATGACTCGGCTGAAAAATGAGGAAATGAAAGGAGCGCTAGTTAAAATCTGCGACAAAGAAAATATCTCATATCAAGACGATGCTATGCAAGAACTCATCGAGGCAGCCGACGGCGACTTGAGAAAAGCCATCGGCTCACTACAAGCTGCAGCAACTGCATTTGGCAAAGTTGAAATTCCCTCGGTTTATCACGCATGCGACATACCGCCCACTGAAGACCTTCATGCTGCCTTCGACGCCTGCCGAAAAGGAATCTGGAGAGACGCCCATGACGCCATCTTCAAACTGCTAGATCAGGGCTACTCTGGAATTGATGTACTTAAAGCTCTACGCGGCGTTTGCATCAAATCAGATGCCCCTGACGCCATTAAAATCCTGTGCCAAAAAGAGGTCACTACCGCTCTCATTTCAAATGATCGCGCTCTAGATCATCTTCAAGTCGAGTAAGCCACCAAAAAACGGCAGGCAAACTGTTTGCTACAAACACGCGCGCGCGCACACACAATTTTATTTTGTTGTAGTGCCACATTATGTCGTCTCTGTTTTGCAAACGTGAGTGTGTTGTAAAGCCGCCGGCCAGTGTGTCCTGACAACACGCTGACGAGGGGGGGTCTTCAGAAGCGAGGGGTATTTTTCGAAGGCGATAATTCGGGTTGATGTCGGAGCAGCTGTACGATGAGTTAGGAAATTATATAGGACCCGAATTGGAGGAGTCAGAGGAGGAGACCTCTTCTTCATCTGAAGAGGAATCCGCGCCCGTACCGGAAGCGGAGAGTAAGGCTTTAGATAGAATTCCAGAATATGAGGTTGACCCGAATGCGATGATGATAGTGGAGGAGGAAGATGCTCAGCCGATTACGCAACCGATAATTGAGCCGGAGAAGACGAACAAGTTCAACTTGATAAGTGAAGAAAAGCTTTCTGGGCATGAGTATAGATATTTGGCGTCAATGAGGAGCTGTCCCGAGCTCTGTCGATCAATCGCCATTGTGGGTGATATTCACCATGGAAAAACGGTGCTTTGCGACTTGATGACTGAGGGGCTGGATGCCTTGATGGATATCACAGAGTCTGAGACGGGACGCACCCGGGGGGGTCCAGGTCAGCAGAGTAAGGGTCAGCAGATTAAGGGTCGAGTTACCGGTCCAAATCGCAGTACATTGAGGAGCAGTAAGGGAGCAGCGCATACGCGGGAGAAAAAGTTCACTGACTCTAGACTGGATGAGCAAGAGCGAGGCGTGTCGATAAAGAGTAGTCCCCTTTGTCTTCTGCTTCCGGACTTAAGAGGGAAGAATTACCTTATCAATGTCTTGGATACACCGGGTCATGTTAACTTTCTAGACGAAGTAAGTGCATCCGTGCGGCTTAGCGACGGTGCGGTTTTGTGTGTTGATGCGCTTCAAGGCCCGATGATTGGGTTCAAAAAAACGCTCCAGATTTTGGCGCATGAAGAAGTGAATAGCATGGTTCTCTATCTCTCATGTATCGACCGTCTTATATTGGAGCTCCGGCTTCCTCCTCCGGACGCCTACTTAAAATTGCGTTACGTGATTGGCGAAGTAAATAAACTTGTGCGTGAGACTTGGACCTCTCTGGGCAAAGTCCCGCCCAAGACGTTTGACCCCGCCGTAGGCAACGTGGTCTTCGGCAGTGGTCGATATTCCTTTGTGTTTTCGCTCAGGTCTTTTGCGGAATACTACGCCAACCAGAAACACCGTGGATCGAATCCCAATAATGTTTCTGAGTCTACTGGTGAGTCCTGTGGCGAGCATGCCGTGTATCAGCAGCCGATGGCTTACGACGCGGATACATTGACTCAGATCTTTTGGGGCGACATTTGGTTGAATCCTCAGACACGCAAGTTCCAGAAAAAAAAACCGGCAGTGGAGGACGAGGATGAGGACGAGGATGAAGCGGTGGGTCGTACCTTTGTCGACTTCATTTTGAAGCCGATTTACAAGATTTTTTCACATGTGGTTGGAGAGGAGAAGCCTACGTTGAAGCCTACGTTGGAAAACGACTTGGGGATTTTTCTGGAAGAATCCGACTATGACTTGGACACAAGGACGCTCCTCAAAAAGGTCTGTCGACTGTACTTCGCGGGTGTAAGTCCGTTAGTCTCTGCAGTGGTGGAACATATTCCGTCACCGAAGGCCAATGCACACTACAAGGTGATGGCGACTTACTCCGGGTCATTGGGCACCGCTGTAGCGAAGGATATGTTGACGCTTAATTCCGAGGGCCGTTGCATAGTCCATACTACAAAGTCGTACCACCGACATGACAACAAGACCTTCGACGTTTTTGGTCGTGTCATGTCAGGAGTTTTGAGACGCGGTATGAGGCTCAAAGTACTTGGCGAGAGATATTCTCTTCACGATGCAGAGGACATGGCCCTCGCCACCGCGGAGCATTTGTGGATCTATCAAAGTCGCTTCCGTATCGAGGTGGAGGCCGCGCCTGCAGGTTCATGGGTGCTGATTGGAGGAGTCGACGCCACGATTCTAAAAAGCAGCACTCTCGCGGAACTGCGGCCTGTCCACCCTTCGTCTGGACCCGTGGTAGATGAACCGGAGGCGGAGGATGACTGGGAGGATGAGGTGGAGACGTTCCGTCCGTTGTACTTCGCTGCGCGGAACGTGGTACGAATTGCATGTGAACCAATCGCGCCTGCGGAGTTGCCAAAGTTGGTAGAGGGTCTTCGGCGCGTGGCGAAGGCGTATCCTTCGGTCCGGACACACGTAGAGGACTCTGGTGCACACGTGTTGGTGTGTGCAGGAGAGTTAGCAGCTGATTGTGCGCTGCACGATTTGCGTGTCGTGTATGGTGATTTGGAATTGCGTTGTGCAGATCCCGGGACAGTCGTGTGCGAAACAGTCATAGGGGAGACCGCGACGGCTGCGGCAGTTGGAACACCGAATGGACAGAACAAGTTGACATTGAGTGCGGGCCCTTTGGAGGAGGCTTTGGTGAGTGCGATAGACGCTCAGTTGGTGCATAATGACCTGGCGCCAAGAGAGTTGGCAGACCTGCTTAAGAAGCAATATGGCTGGGATACATTGGCCGCTCGATCGGTGTGGGCCTTCGGGTCCCAGGGTCTCGGCGTACAGGGTCTCGGAGCGCAGGCTGTGCCAAGTGTGCTATTGAACGACATATTGCCGAGCCGTACAGATACCAAACGACGCGATGTGAATGTAGTGAAAGATTTTATCACTCATGGCTTTCAGTGGGCTGTACGAGAAGGACCACTTATTGAAGAGGAAGTGCGAAACGTTAAATTCCGACTTATAGACGCTACCATCGCACCCGAACCTCTCTATCGTAATAGCGGTCAAGTCATACCGACAGCTCGACGTGCAGCCTACGCTGCACTCTTGACAGCTGAGCCCCGGCTCATGGAACCTATGCTCCTCGCCGAGGTTGTTTGTCCCGCAGACTGCGTCACTGCAGTCGTCGGTGTACTCGCTCGTCGACGTGGTCGTGTACTTTCCGATCTACCAAACCCTGGCACACCTCTCGAGACCGTTCTAGCCTTCGTACCAGCCACTGATGCCTTTGGCTTAGAGACTGACATTCGCATACACACCTCCGGCCAAGCCTTCATACAAACCGTATTCGACCGCTGGGAAACATTACCCGGAGATCCTCTAGACACCTCCATCCGTCTCAGACCATTTGAACCCGCCCCTTTACTCGACCTCGCCCGCGAATTCCTACTCAAAACCAGGAGACGCAAAGGACTCTCTGACGACGTCAGCATCAAACGCTTTCTGGACTAGACTTCTCCAACCATCCCTGCGCCTATACAACCATCCCTGCGCCTATACAACCATCCTTGCGCCTAAGTTACTCCACCATCAGGGCGCGACACCATCTGGGCAATGTACTATTCGTGTCATTACTATTGTCCTAAAGTGTCATATTGTGTTAACAATGTACTACTACGCGCCATTGATCTCCGAGTCATCAACCTCTGTGGCCCGTCTCACAAGTCGATGATCTCCGGTGCTAGGGCCGGCTCTTTCGCCGCAGCTAACTCAGGGTTGGGGTGCCGCTTTTTCTTCGCCTCTTGTTTAATCAGTTTCCACTTCAAATCATGAGTCAACTGATCCTCATATACCTCGATCTAAAAAGGACAGCCATGTGGCCGAGAAAATGTCGCCGACAGGGAGTGTGAGTGTGCAAGACAGGGAGTGTGAGTGTGCAAGACAGGGAGTGTGTGTAATATTACTAATTTGTCAGTTTCGGAGGTTTGATGTAGTATGTCTTGTAGCCATGAGTCGATGATAATGTCTTCAGGTCTGCATGGCAGTTTGCAGATGGGACAACGCCAGCGTTGCGCCTGATGAACAGCATTTTGCGAGTGGACGTAATATTCGAGTTCGAAGCACTGGACGTGGAGGCAATTAATTCCGCGTGCTGGTTCGTCGATTTTGAGCATGGTGGAGGGACAGGTGAGCTTGACATTTCGAGCGAAATCGATGATGTCTAATTCGTCATCGAGTGGTCCTCGGGTAAGAGATTTGCCTTGGCCAAAAAATGCGTTTCTGACAAACTCTTCGGCCAGTTTGATGGGTAAGGTTGTCGTTGCCTTAAGACGTTTGTACCAGGCATCGGGTTTGTCTGGTTCGACGATAGCAAGGGCAAATATATAGGGACCATCTGCGATCCCATCGAACTCACCAACTATCCGAACACTAGGTTGCCTGGATAAGGAGTTGTTGTTGTTAGCTATATATCTTAGTAGCTGGTCGTTGACATTGACGAAATGGTCTTGTCTTAATCTCATGTTGGGTGGCCTCTTAAGCTTCTCGGAACTTTCTGTGACTCCATAGCTGAAATGTATTTCCACTTCTCCGTTAGGGAATTTTGGGTAGCAGGTGTTATCAAACTTCAGCTTGAAAACTCGCACTTGGAGCCCGAAGCCCTTTTCGAGACACTGAGTGGCTTCGCGGCTGTTGACTACGACCCGCATGCCCACGTCGCACTTGCCACCTGAGGCTTGTGAATAGCGGGGAGGGTCTTCGCGGAAATTGCAACCATGGACCGGTGCGTGGTACTGGATGCCGAAGATCTTCTGCACTTTGTAGAACGGGTCTGCCGTGGTCAGCTTGCATACTATGCACACAAATCGGCTCGACCATTCGGTCACATTTGCCTCGCTCAGAAAGTCATTTAATCGGGTATAGTGAACCTTGTAAAATTCATTAATATAATCCCACTCCAGACACTTTAGGTGACACAAGCCATGACTCGGATTCCCACAACGGGTACACGATACATTGCCATGCAACAACTGTCGACCTACTCGATGGCGCTCCAACGCAGCCACCATCGCCGCCGCCAATTGACCAACACGTAGCCGGCACAAACACATCACTTCGCTCGCACGCGGGTCAACTGTCTGTCGGTACATCCGCCGACAGTACTCGACCAACACCGGTCCATGCGGGTTCACCAAACGTAACCGCTCTCGCAGGACGGCTCCATTCCGCGACACCGCCTCCGTTTTCGGAGCCGCCTCCGTTTTCGGAGCCGCCTCCGTTTTCGGAGCCGCCTCCGTTTTCGAAGACGCCTTCTCCTGCTTCAGTGTCTCCACACGGCCGGAACCCCCCGGATCCGGAGCTCCAAGACCCGGAGCTATAAGATCAGACCGGGCGGGTGCAGCCACGAGCCGACCGTCTGGCACCCGGGCTAACCCACGCT